AAAAACTTAAAGAAATATATTCTGATATAGATTATGCTTGTAGACATAATATAAGAATTGATTTTGTAGAAATTAGTAAAGAAATAAAGAAGGTTGAAGATATTATAGCTAAATACGAAAATATAATAGAAGAAGAATTTTCAGAAAGAATTGTTTTTGAATATATAATTGAAGAAAATCAACCTAGAGCTTTTGAAAAATTAACAAAATATAGAGTATTTAGAACAGATAGAAATGTTAAAGGAAAATCGCAGAAATAGTAATTATGATTAATGAATCAAGAGGAAAAAGAAGATATTGAAAGATTTGGAAGAATCCAAGATAATACTAGTGAATTAAGATCTAGAGAAATTAGGAAACTCCTTGAAAAACTTCAAAAGAGAAAATGATACAGAAATGTGAGATAAGATCCTAAAAACTATGAGATATCACCAATACGAATAACAACAATATTTGAATTAGTTACAAGAAAATACTGAATTAAGATTCCCAGAATTAGTTCTAAGAACCTACAATCCAAACTAGAGAATTGTAAGATATAACCCTGAACAATCTAACAATTAAAAGATACAGGGTATATTTTGCAAATAAAGAAAGTAAGAACAAAATAGTACTTTAATAGAAGCTAATTTTATATTATTAAAAGTATTTGTGAGTATCTGGTAAGCTTTTGACAATATCCTTCAGGTAGTGTAGTGTAGCATAACCCGAGTTAAAAGGTCCAAATGTAGGCTACTTGTAACGGTATGTTTGGCTAAGCTTAACAAGTTTATTTATTAATGTAAATTTGACAGGTTTAGAGATAAGCTTTAGATAAGTTTCCCCAAACACACTCTTAGGGGTTGTTCTGCATAAATTTTAACAAATTTCGATAAAAGTGAATAAAATATGACGTTTGAGATTCATAATTTTTAACTAGTTTTTTAGTTTTCCAAACAAGCCCTAAATGTATAACGTTCAGAGTGCTATAAAGTTAAAACTTAAATTCAGGCCCTGTTTGAAACCTGAAATTTTTTATTTTCCAAATTTTGGGCCGTTTGGTAGCCAACATTTTCCAAGGAATTCCTTTTCCAATTTTTCACTCACGCGTCTCCTTTTCCCAGTTTTCAATGAAATTGTTTTCTTGTTGTTTTGGTGGTTTTTGGTTTTCCACCTTTTTTTTTTTTGGGAATTGAAAAAATTTTAGACATAATGGTAAAAAAAAATTATCACTTTTATTGACAATTTTCATGCAAAACAAAACCAAACGGATACCACACTTTCAACATTTTTGAAGTGGCAAATTATACCAATCAAACACAATTAATTACAATTTCCAGTAAAACAAATTGTAGGCAATTCAATTCCCTATAATTCATTTTCTTTCCACCCAAATTCCACATTTGCAATCAAAGAGACTCTTATAGAAGAGTAAGGTGTAACTTAAAAATTATATTTTTGAAATAATTAATTTTAATTTATTTTTAATTACGATTGAGAGTGTGTTTGATAGGGATTTTTGGGGAAA